CACAACCCACTGTCCCTACACGACGCTCCTCCGACCTCGACTGTCCTCCATCCCCCCCCCTCTCTCCTGTCCACTCCCCTCCCCCCTTTCCCCTCCCCTCTCCCCTCTCCCCTCCCCTCCCCTCTCCCTTCCCCTCCCTCCTCCCCCCTTCCCTCCTCTCCCCTCTCTTTCCCCCTCCCTCCTCCCTCTCTCTTTCTCTCTCTTTATGTGTTTGTGTGTTTTGGGGCTGCGTATGGGGTAGGTTGGGTGGAGTTTCTCTTTGAGGTTTGTGTGATTAGGTTGAGTTTAGTTAAAATTAAGGATTACTCCCTATCCCAAGGTCCTTTTGCCACATAAGATGTATTTCCAAGTTCTGGAAATTAAAATGCAACCATCTCTGAAGAGTTATTTTGCTTGCTGGTATTTCATTTAAGGATTTCTGTAGTATAATTGTGGTTCAATTTGAAATGAGATTTTTATTTTTAATTTTATAGGTTTTTTATGTTAACTCTGGTGACCTTTTATGCACATTACATGAAACACCTTATATGATTACCACTGGGGATTCATTCTATGTTCCTTCAGGTAAGAACAACTAAAGCACCGTGTAGATTCCTATTGTTTCAGTGTCCGAATACTTGGTAGTGTACAGTTCCATTCATGTAAAAGCTACAGTGGTCAAAATACACTCCCATGTTACTGATGCCAAAGCAGCTCAGTACATACCTTCCTTTCATTAAGTAAGTATATTAAAAGTTTTTCATGTGTGAAATTCAGACAACTTTATTGCTAAATAATAAAAATGTTGAGTAGAAGTTGTGCTGCATTTCAAGCTGTAAGGGAAGTTATTTCTGCAGTGGTATTTCCTGTGACATTATATAGCCCTTTATTTTTGACCAGTATAGTGTAAAAGGTTATAAGTCATTGTAGTAGGTATTTTAATTTGTTTGCTTGTTTATTCTTTCATTCAGTCAATATGAGTAACAGTGTACTGTGGTACCAAATATTGCTCTTTAAGTTTAAGATAAATAAAGGAAAAGAGAGAAAAATTCCACATTTATAAAGTACACATTGTGATGAATATTTTAGCTATATTTTATATACTTTTGTCTTGTACTTGTGGTGCTGGGAATTGAACTGAGATCCTTTGCTGATTGCTCACTGAGTGCATCCCCAGCCCCATACTCTCTCGAGTTTAATGGATATAAACTTCTATGTAGAGAAAGTCACGGTGATGTTTCTTGCAAGTAAACAGGTCATATGTGACACTATCTGACACTCTGTTAAAATTACTAATTAATTAAAAATAGCATTTGGCTTTAAAAATTATTTTATTCTTACCTTTGTATATATGTATGTGTCTGGTTTATAGGAACCCACAGCATTTCTAAAGATTATTTAAAGATTGCTTGCAGAGTGTTTTTCTCTTGTACACATTTTAATTTAACTCTGCTTTTGTAATACAATGATGAGAAATTTATGTTTTTTCAGAATCTCGCTGAATCAGTAGGTGGTAACTTTCCAGTCTTTGGATTCATGCAGTTAAATAAATTACTTAAAGTTAGATAACTTTCTGTTTCATATTACATACTGTATGTGTTAAGTGCTGAAGAAATACTCAAAAAGAAATAATTCTTGTGGAAACAAAAATATCTTTTTGTTACTTTACTTGAAATAATTATATTTTCTTGTTACTTTACTTTTAGGTAATCATTACAACATTAAAAATCTCTTGAATGTGGAAAGTTGTCTTCTTTTTACTCAAATAAAAAGGTGAAATAAATGTGTATGTATATAAAATAAGTTGTTTATATATACATTTTTGTAACTGATTATTTTAAAGTAAAATTTTTGTCTAGTTTTGCATTAATCATTTCATACTCCTTGTTAAATATTTCATAATCTTGTATGTATCTTGATTTTTCCTTAAGTGTAAATACTGTGTTTAGTGATGACCATTTTGTTGGTATTGTTTTGATCTTGAAAAGAAAAAGCAACAACAAAAGAAACTAAAATCACTGTTCCCACAATATAAAATACATCTGCTATAAAAAAAACTGATTAGTTTGTCCATTCATTTGCAATAGTTGGTTCCAAATCTAAATTTTAAATCATCGGTCATTCAAGAATCTAATAGAAAGCTGTTGTAAATGTGCTGAATTAATTTCCATGGACTGCTGTAACAAAATGACCTAAACCACTGGGATTGTTTATGTATTTTTTGTCTTGCTGTTTTGAGGGTTGAAGTGTTAATTTAAGGTGTCCTCAGAGCAGTGCTGACTTAACTTCTATAGAAGGGAATCATTCCTTTTTTTCTACTTTTTTATATGCTTCCTATCTTTGGCTTTCCTTATACCTTGAACACTTCAATCTTTACCCTTTATCAAATGTCTTAGTTACTTTTCTATTGCTTTGACAGGATTACCATGATTAATGCAAATTATGTAAGGAAGTATATATTTGAGGTTTATAGTTTCAGGGGATTAGTCCATAATTATGTTACAGGAAGATCTTAGATGTAGATCTGAGAGATCAAATTGTTTGGGTTCAGACTCCATTTTAGAAAACCTGACCTAAGTTTAAACTCAAGTAAACTAATAGGTCAGTACCTAACTCCTGTTGCTCAGCTACCCCCAACAAGACCTGCGTCTCCAGATGATTCCAACAAGTCCAGCATCTAGGTTCCGTTTCCAGGTTATTCCTCCCAAAATCTGCACCTCCAGTTTAAGCCCACCCCCTGTCTAATAACCACCAATTAGGAGGAAAACAAAAGTTTATAGTTTGGCTCCCAGCACCAGCCAATTATGCTAAAAACCACAGTGGCCCCTCCCACACCCCAGGGCCTCCCCCAATCAGATGCTAGATACTAGATGCTAGGCTAGAAACACGCACTGCTCGCTTGCTATTTTCTGTAAAACCTTGTCCTGATGAGTGTCTGGGCTTTTCTCCACCTGAGCGGTCCTGTGTGTTGGTCGTGAATTAAGCTCCAAGCTCAGGTTTGTGAATAAAGACGCTAGTGTGATTACACTGGATTCAGCTCCTTGGTCTTTTGGGGTTCACGAATGTTTCAGCACAACAGATCCATAAGCACAAGGCAGAGAGGGCTAACTGGGAGTGCCACGTGCTTTTGAAACCTCTGGGCCAGCTCCCAGTAACACCTCCTCCAACAAGGCCACACCTTCCAATCCTTCCTTCCCAAACAGTTTCACCTGCCGTCAGCCATACAGATTACACTTCTGCACTTAGCCTGAGGCCCAGTAAATACTGACTGATTGTCTGGGGCGGTGATAATGGCCCAGCATCTGTTTATGGTGGTACGAAACCCACCTTACCATGAGGAGGTCAGGAATTCTGAGTCCAATTTATTCCTTTAACAAGGAATAAATTGATTGAATCAGGCTACTTGCTTAAAACTTTGTCTTTTTCCTGTTGCAATTCTGGGGGGTCGGGGGGGGGGGGCCTCTGTTTATGTGTCAGTCTTGTGGAAGTGGGAGATGTGTGGAGCAGGCTCTGCTGTCTCCCGACTGCCCCAGCCTGAGAAACAGATGCTGAAGATGCCACACCTTTCAGGGACAAGACTTGGAGGAATCAAGATAGAACTGATGGTGCCTGAGGACTAGCTCTCATAGCCAGGAGGAGCTTGCAAGTTGCCAAGGGAGAAATGTAATCAGTAGTTCTGTCTAGCCGTAAAACCTGCAGATCATCTCCAGAATGATGTGATGCTTCAATAGTGCCACTTGTACCCTGAGGATACCCAACAGCCAGCTCTCTAATAGGACTTAAGGCCTGCTCAGTAAGAGGGATTCGTGACGGAACTGGTAAAAGTAGTCCATTATCCATGGTTGGTGACGTCAAGGACCCTAGAGGAGAAACTATACTTGCTACTCTTAGTAGACTAGGATAATGTCTGTGCCCTAAGTACACTCAACGATAAGTGTGGCTCCCATCCTTCATCAAAGACATTTCTTTTGGTAGCCAATGAAGGCTATTACAGAAATTCACAAACTCCTCGAAATGCAGAAGACAACTGACTATGTGGCACTTGTGCCAAACTGATAGGTCTTTAACACAACCACTACATCAGGGAACACTAAGGGACTCAGGGAGGAAGTAACATAGGAACCAGAGGCCCATGAAGTCTGCTTCAAGATAGGGCCTTCTGTATATGATAGGGAAGTGCACCCATGAAATCTTGACAGCATGCTTTTGTGTCAACATACCTGTGCAGTGCAGTGCTGGGGGATTGTGCTGGATAGTTTTAAATCAACTTGACACAAAAATCACCTGAGAGGAGGGAACCTCAAGAAAATGCCTCCACCATATCAGGCTGTAGGCAAGCCTGTAGGGCATTTTCTTAGTGATTGATGGGGAGGGCCCACCTCCCATTTTGGGTGGTGTCATTCCTAGACTGGTGGTCTTGGGTTCTATAAGAGCTGAGCAAACAATGGAGAGCAAGCCAGCCACCCTCCATGGTCTCTGCAGTAACTGCCTCCAGGTTCTAAAAAGTCCTTCCTGTTTTTGACGATGAACTGCTACCTACCTGGAACTGTGATTGAAATAAAGCCTCTCTCCTCCAGTTGCTTTTGGTCGTGATGGTTCATTACAGCAACTGAAATCCTAACCGAGACGGGTTGGTACCCACAGAGTGGGTTATTTGTGACAGACATGACCATGTTGTGGGGAGGATTATAGGACTTTGGGGCACTCAGTAGGATGTTCTGTAGGAGGTTGGAAGATAAGAATGAACAGTGTTGAAGATAGAGGCCTGGCTTGGGAAGTTCCAGACAGAAGTTTAAGACTATCAGGGCCATTTGCTATTTTGAATTAAAATTCTGTCAGTTAGGCGGACATGTGCCGTGAGTAGCAGAAGCCCAGCACTGCTGAAGTGAAGTCTGTGTGTTACCAGGGCAGCTGACACTGGTAAGCTGGAGCTGAGAAATCAGTGCTGACTAAGAAGAGACTAGCATCGTTGAGGTGAAATTTGGCAAGGGTTTCCTCAAGGCCAAGACACACAACTGTACCAGAAGTGGCCAAGGTGGTACCTTGTGCTGGCAGCTGAACTTGGTAGTGTAAAATCACCCAGGTGGTACTGGTTTTGAAGGCTTGAAAGACTTGGTGTGGGAAGGATGGAGTCCCTGAAGAGAGCCCAGGAGAGGCTCTTTGTGAAAATGCAGCCCAGTTGCAGCAAGGGACCGCTGCATTTTGGAGATGCCAGTACCATGCAATGGACCACCAAGAACAGCAGCAGCAACAGCATGGAGTCAGCTGGGGCCTAGAGGACAAGCTGCCTGTGCTTCAGAGGGCAGAGCGGGAGGAGTGACCCACGTGACCCACACTCCAGCTTCAGAAGATCATGAGTGAATCCCTGAGAGTTGGACCCTTGAGTTATTTACATCGTTGGGAGTTTGATTTTGCTTGTTGAAGATTGTACTTGTGCCCTGGTTCTTCCACTTTGAAGAAAGTATTTAACTTAATTTTGATTTTTACAGGAGCCCACAGCTGAAAGATTTTGAACTTTTAAAATATTTTTGGATTTTTTTTTAAAAAAGGGACTGGGTATTTAAGGCACTGAAATTTTTAATGTGTTTGAATTTGTAGCAGCTGTGGAACTTTTAAAGCTATCTATGCTTTACATGTATTTATGTTTTTAATTTGAGGGATGAATGATAAAGGAAAGATTGTGGCTTTTCAGTGACCTGTTTGTGTGTCAGGTTGACCAAGGCTGGATAGCTATTGTCAACTTGACTCAATCGAAAGCCACTAGAGAGAGCAGGGAGCCTCAACTAAGAAAATACCTTCTTGAGATGGGCTGTAAGCATGCCTGTAGGGCATTTTGTTAATTAGTGGTTGATGGGGGAGTGCCGAGCTCCTTGTGGGTGGGCCCATCCCTGGGCTGGTTGATCAAGCCTGTAGGCAGCACTCCTCTATGGCCTTGCGCTAGCTCCTGCTCCAGCTTCCTACCCTGCTTGAGTTTTTGCCCTCACAGCTTTTGATGAGGAACTGTTACATGGAACTGTGAGCAAAATAAACCCTTTCCTTCCCAAGTTGCTTTTGGTCGTGGTGTTTCATCACAGCAATGTAACCCTAACTAAGACAGGATTGAACTCACTGTCACACATACTAGTTAAGAATTGAAGTAATTGAGCTACATCCCAGCTGATAGGACTTCTTTTCAGAAGTCATCTTTTCCAGTCTTAAAAGTCATTCCTAATAGTTTATAATATTATGCCTACTGTCGACTTTTGTTGTCTGTGCAGATCCTGTCTGCTGGACCTGGGATGTGAGGACATGAAAGAGTGGGTGAACTGCAGTCTAATGCTGTGGACAACCCTACTTCAGTTTCAGTGTACTTTAATACACAAATGTAACAAAGCAATCATCCAAGGAAGGTTGGTTGATTTCAGAAAATCATGTAAATAAATGTCAATAAGCACATAGTAAATATTCACAGGACAGCCCTTTCCCTGGACAGACCAACTTTAACAAAATAGCCTGGCATATACTATGGCTTATATCTTGGAAAGCATGAAGCAAGGCAGAAGCCGTATCTAGATTCAGGGTACACCACCAGATTGGGTCTATAGCTACCATCTGACATGCAAAAAGAATAAAGATGTCTTGTAAATTGAATGTGAATGTTTAACACAGGAGGCACGTCTAAGAACAATCCAGGGAACAAAATGGACCTGAAGTAAAAGGCCCTCGATCACAGTTCTGCAAGGGGGTGTTTACTACGCGTCTTTCTTGTGACCATATTCTGATACCTTACCATATTTACAGTAATAAATAAAACTAATGGAAATATTAGAGCATAACGATAATATTTTACAAAAGATACAATTCTCAGTTTTTAAACCTTTCTTTTTTTTGGTTCAATTTAGGACCAATGACAGGACAGCCAATATGTTTTTTTCATTTTTAAGGAGAGAGTCCCTGATGCCTTGGGGCTAGCTATCATGTGTGCAATGTTTATACTCACAGACTATCTGCTCCGTAACTATTAAGCTTAATTGGACCTTACAAATGATACTAAAATCGGAACCTCAAGAAGTGTTTAATGAAATATTTTAAAGTTTGTGTCCTGTAAGCTTTTTGCTTAGGACCCGTTTGGAAAGCATCCATCCATCTAGTTGTTCACTGTAGAAGAGTCAGGGTCGAATCGCCTGTCTGTGTGTGGAGAGATGGTTACTCTCTCTGTGAGGTC